CACACATCTGTTACAAAATAAGCCTACAATTGCACTGATAACAATGAATATCATAACAGAATCAGGAACAAAAAGGCGTATTTGGCATAAACTATAACAAACATTTTAAAACTTAAAGCATATAATCGACCATTACACTTCGTCTTTTCCAAAACTAGTAATAAAAAATTTGGTAAAACTGTGCCAGCGACTAGTATGCCTGAAAAGCGCATGCCCCGGCAGTTTTTTTACCGTGCAGAAATCTGTGGCAAAATAATCGGATTTACTAAAACTGTGATTTATGAGAGCGTCTCAAGGTTCTCACATTCCGCTGTAATTCGAATGCAGCGCTAATAAATCTTAAATAGCATAAACACATTAATGTATGTGGTCATCAGTAGTAACCAGCCGCTGGCACAGCAAGCAATGATTAACTTTTGAGATTATGGAATAAACAAGACAGCAGTTTAGCGAAGCAAAGACGCCAATCGGGGTATTTCTGTCTCCCTCTCTGCTACAAAACACACTTTCCTTCCCCTTTACAAGAAAAAAAAAAAAAAAATGCACGACTGCGACTATGGGCTAAAAAAGTAACTGGCCAAAAGGAGGTCCTCAGCAGAAAAAAAATCCCCTAAATGCCTGCCAACTCCCATTTAAACTTTTCACCATTTCTAGCTTAAAGCTCATATTTCGAATTAGAAAAAAAAAAAAAAAAACCAAGACCACTACTTTCCGTAACACAAACAAAAAAGTGCTTCTAACTTGAAATGGTAAGCAAATCAAGGCCTCAAATTCCCATTTCGTAATTCCACTAGTTTGAAGAATCTGATGAAGCATCAGTCGGGGTAAAGGCTGTGAATGCCATCTTCTACGGCCCCTTCATTCGTCTCAAAAGTAAAGCGGAAATGATGCGCGTTAGGGAGTCTAAACAACAGTTAGCTTGCTAATAAGAAATTTTCTTAAGAAATTAACCAAAACTATTTGATCGTCTTTTGGGCATTCCGATACACGTTCAGCTACAGCTTCGAACCCCGCCACGTAAGATCGACTACTGTTATCGCGCATATCCAGCCTCGGTTCTCAATGCGGATATTTCTCCCCAAGTCCGCCTCCTAATCAGGCAGTCTAAAGTTAAGCCTACTCTCGCCGTAAATTTTTCAAACAAACTGCTCGTTCCACATCGCTGGTTCTTGCATCCATGCTTAGCTGCAGTTCACTCTCAGGCAAATTCACCTGTATTACGAATGACCCATACAGGTCTGGACTTCGCTAGGACATTCCTGGGCAAATCTAACCCCTGCAGCAACTGATCCCAAACAAATTAGCTTTCAAGTCAGCTTCCAAACAAAGGAAACCTTTGCTGCGAGTACTCATACCCTCGATTAAGCTTCACTCTGATATGGCCAAGTAAGCCCGGTTACTTATGTTTATATTTCCAAGGGAACTGAGTTTTCATTACGGGTATTCCTCCTCTTTTCCTGTTTCCATGATTTGAAACGGAAGGCCCTTATTACATACTGCTGAATTGTCATCTAAACGATCCATGGATGCACAGGCCTGCGATATCTTCAAACCACGGACGCCCGGACTGGGACACAGCGGCACAAAAGATTACTGCTGTGCAGAGACCAGCCCTGCACTGAGATTTTCCGCACACGCACACACAGCCAGTACAACAAGCTGCCAAGAGAACCAGTCATGCCAAACGTTTTTTGTCAGCGCAAAATTATATTAGATAATTCGACAAGAACACATCTAGGCTGCATGACAATTAGCCCGGGAATCAGTAAGGTGCAAAACGATTCAACGTACGATATGTGGCAGCTATTGCTGGGTAACCGGGAAAAGCTGCTGTAAGTGCTGATCCGAGATACTGTTCTCCGATTGATGTTGCAACAGTTGTGCCTGTCATCGCATTACGCGCTGCTGCCGCTGCTGCCGCGGCCGCTGCCATTAAAGTTGGATTCGTTGCTACAAATATGTTTCATCGTTCATGGTGAAAAATCTGTACCAAAAATTAAAATAGCCCAGCGAGCCCCATTCTGCAAGCCAAGTAGGATACGTGTTTTCTTTTGTGAACAAACGGTAGCCACGCCTTCGAGAATGATGCGAAACTGCCTCGCCACATAAACAGAATTCACTGAAAAAGGCGGCATACCCGGGAACTAAGAACTGTTCGATAACAAATTCGTTGGCCAAATTGGCAATAAAAATGCTGCACCCCCTTGTCCCTTGTCTCCTCAACCAGGAAGCAGCGACTCAAAGACCTATCACCTTGCCCTACGATAATATTCCTCTCTCAGCGTCGATGCTGTTAATGCCAGTGCTCAACAACTAAAAAGCACTGAAGCGCAACACAAGCACGCACTGCGGAATTCCACTGTCACTTTGGCAAGTTCCTACAGGCGGCAGCTTGCATGCGAGCCAATGCAGAGAAGAAGCGGGATTACCTTGTGCAGCGACGAGCTGCAAGCGCGCCTGCTCGGTTAACAGTGCGGCTGCTGGATCGTAAGCCTGCTGCAGCGCTTGCGCATTCGTCTGAGGAAACTGCGCGGCACCAAGAAGAATGCCATGAGTTTGCATTTGCGCCGCCAGTGCCGCCGGTGTAATGAAATTGAGCTGCTGCTGCTGCTGCTGCTGTTGTTGCTGTTGCTGCTGTTGTTGTTGTTGCTGCTGCTGCTGTTGTTGTTGTTGCTGCTGTCCCAACACAGCAAGCTGGCTTTGCACGCTGAGATTCTGAAGACTACGTACAGCTATCGCCTGAGCTAACGGATGTCGCAAATATACGGCACGATTTGCAACAGCGGCTTGTTGCAGAGCAGCTCCCTGGAAAGCTGCAACTGCCAGACTTGCATCTACCATTCCTGGAAAGAAGTACTGATGCAGCTTAGGAGATCTGGATCAACCAGAGAGCGCGCACTGCGCATGTGTTAGACGAGGACACGGGGCACAGAGAAGCGCCGCTCGCACTTCGTGCAACTGTTCGCTCGTCCCAGAATTCAGTGCTGCCATTATTTTCACGGTTCTGCGTACGAAACGAAATACATTCCTGTCTGCAAACTATCATGCAAGTAGTATGTGTGAGCGAGAGAGACAGAGAGAGACAGCGAGCACTGAACAAAACTTATCCCAGCGCAACTTGACGGAACATGCGCAGGCCGCAAGGCCACAGTGCAGCGCATGAGCAACGGAATTGCGATTTTCAGATGCCGAAGGTGGTGCTATTGCTGTCGCTGAGATAAACTGCGCTGCTCGTGCACGTAACTTCAGGTCAACTGCTGCCCTACTCCTCCAGACAGGGCAGTTGCATTCACGGATTGTTAAAGCGACGGCGTACGGTTCAATGCATGCAATAAAAAAAAAAAAAAGCACAGCCAATAAGCACAAAAGCTACACTTCTCGGTGACCAGCAGTGGCGCTCGAGGTGCAAAATCGGTGAGAATGAATTCCGTAGCAAGCTGTGGACGCCTTTCAAGTGCAGCTTTTGTGGATCAGGGTAATGAAAGGTGTTGAATAAATAAACACTTCGGCTCACCGGGTGCGAGTTTCGGCTTCTTGGTGTGTATACGGGCAGTGGCGCAATTCACCTCAAAAAGGCCACCATTAACCAGCGGAGAGGAACGCTCTCTCTCTGTGAGAAACATGCCAGCGAAATTTACAATCAAGAAAAAGCATTGCAATACACTGATTATTTAATCTAATATGAACGCTTCTGCATAACCCCGGTCAATCAAAAGAACATAAAAGAAGTGCCAAGTCGGACAAACAGACAACATAAGCCACCGGATGATGATAACCATACCGGAATTCGGGCTCACTTTCACTGCGCCTGTTGCATACTCATGCAAAGAACAAGAAGTTTCATCCGAGCGCAAGGATTAGTTCATAAAAAAATGCAGTTGGATGCAAGTTGGCTGTGTAAAGCAAACACAATTCAGAGTTGGTGTGCCCTCCACGATCAATCCAAAACTGTGAAGCGCCATGCTAACCAAAACACATTCGCCATCACAGCTGCTCTCTTTTCCAGAACTCCTCACCGCCCCCTCCCCGTCTCCCTTCCTTCTTCGAACTCTAAACACCGGACAGTAAATCACTTAAAAGCCACCGGACCAGGCTTGAAATCAAGTGTCTGTAGTGTGTCTAAGAGAACACTAAACTTGCAAGTAAACTTATTACAGGGTCCTTCCTACACTTCCCGATTTCTCAACAAGTGAAATTACA